TGCCCTTTGTTGATACCCTATTATTTAAATAAACGAAATCAACATACTATTTATTGTATTAACCAAGTGGACATTTTTTCACTAATTCAAATTTTCCATATTTATGATAAGGGATTGCTTGATTAATAGTAAGGATGGCAACGGATTGAGTTGGGATGGATTTTTGCTCATCTTGAATCCAACTTGACTTTATACCTAAAATATCTGAACCTGACATTACATAAATCATATTTGATCTAATCCGACTCAAAATTAATAAAATATTATTTTTTAAGTATAAAATATTTTTTAATGTAAATATAAAATTAAATAAATATAAATATTAAATTAAATTAAATTAAAAACTAAAAAAATAATTTTTATATATCGGGTCAGGTCGAAGTGAGTTTGCTTAAAATTTGATTATAATTTTTTTTTACTGTTGTCTGATCTAACCCCAATTCTGATTTTTTAAAAAAATAAATCAATCATATAAAATAAGATTATGTCAGAACTCGTTGGAACGGGTTAAATTGTTATTCCTAATTAGTAGAAGCAATGGCTTATCGCTTCTACAAGACAAAAACCTTTATTCCTATTTATGGAAGCAAAAAAAATTAAGCAACCAATCTTTCTTTACAAATGTCAAATGTGGGTTTTTCAACTTCAAATCCCTTTTTGACATTTTCATATTTGAAACATGTATGTTTGTATCAGTAAATAACTTGAAAACTTGACCACAATTCTTTTGCTTATATGGTAATTTGGGACCATTAATGATGAACAACTCAATCACTCCATTATCACCAACAAAATCTTATATATAATGATACCCCTATTATTTTCTTTATTTTTTCCCCCTAAAGTCCTTCCAAAATCCATTTTTTGCTTTGCTAGAAGGTTTTTTGCTTTGAAACCAAACATTTGATTAATACATATATATATAATATATATATATATATACATAGAGAGAGAGAGAGAGCACTTTCTTTAGCACTTGCATTTCCCATTTTCGTGTTTCCTCTAAATAAAAAATCTCAAATTCAATTCTTTTTTTCAGATTTGATAAAAGATGGTTGAATTAAGACTTCATTTAGATAATCGATGAAAAGAGATTTAAGAATTCAATCCCAAAATGATGTAATAATGTGATGAGATTTTATTTTCAACGATCATCAAGATAAAGTATAAGATGAAGCATTAGTAATTTTACATTTTAAATGAAACTTGAAAAATAAAATATTTATAGTATGGTCATTAGGAAATCATGGAAAAAGTAAGAACAATTGTTTGGTAAATGTTGGTCCAATTAGGGGGAGTATGCTTTTAAAATCTTGGAAGAGTAAAAAAAAATTATTGAAACATTATCCACAACATTACCTTGTCCAAAGTGAGAGCCCGGCTAGGGGATAATGGTTTATATACCTTGAGTTCAAGTACCTAAAAAACAAAGCTGAAAACGACAACTGATTTTCTTTCCTTTTCTTTTACCAGAATTCTTCCTAACTATGAAGCTTAAAACTTGATAATAAAACATGTTGGATAATTAGAATCAATTGTCAAAATTTCACAAATTCTTTGACAGGACTTCAGTTTTTTTATTTTTTTCTTTTTGTCGAAGCATAAAGGTAATTGGTAGATCTAACAATTCGTATTTTTACATTGTGATTTTGTATCATATTTGATACATGTAATGATATGAATTATTAAAATACGAATATGACACAAATTATAAAAAGTGTTTAAATTTTAAATACGAATACGATACGTTTGTCATAACATATAGATCTATAAATCTATAGTTAAACTTAATAAATGAAATCATCACAAATCTTTTTTATCTAAGTGTGATTGGTCACCTAAAGAATCTATTATCTTAAGAAGCTTTTAAGTTTGACTAAGAGTCCCTAAAAGAATAGGTTTAAATCTATAAACTAGAATAAGGTTCAAAAATTCGGTTACATATAAAGAAGGTTATAATACCCCCACATGTTCATCGAAGTATTGTATATTTTTAATTTATCCTAGGGTTTTGAGTTTAATAGTTTCAAACTTTTATATTAAATATTTAAAATAATTTATAAGATTCTTCTATCAATTTAGTAAAATTTTTAAAAATATTCTCTTACCTTAATAATATTCAAGAATCTCATTTGTTTTCTTAAAGAGGCTCTGTCATCAAAAAAATATTTAATTATTTTTTATTGAAAATACATTTAATTATTCCACAATTTGGACCAACTTAGAAATATTTTCTCTTTTAAAAAATTTAAAATTTTTCAGCATTTGGGGCTATTTAGAAATTCTCTTTATTTTTTTTTTTGTTTCTAAATTTTTCATTATTTAGGTCAATTAAATTTTTTTTTTTGAAATTTTTAAATTTTTCACTATTTGGGTTTATTTAGAAATTCTTTTTATTTTTTTTTCGGAAGGAAAATAATATGACAATTATTTTTTATTGAAATTTCATTTAAATTCTTCCACCATTTGAGACAAATTTAAAAAAAATTTCTCACTTAGAGATTTCTTATGAATTTATTATTTGAAATTTCTAAGACTCTCATTCTTGAATAATTGTCAAATATTTTCACCCAAAATTTTTTATTTTTTATTTTTTTGTTTGAAAATAAATATTAATTATTGTTATTAAAATTTTATCTAAATTATTATACAATTTGGGACCAATTTATACAAAATTCTCATCTAAGAATTTTATAAAAATTTACCATTTAAATTTTTTATAAATTTCATCAATGGATAATTAATACTTATTCTAAAAATATATTTTTTATTTTTTTATTCTTTTTCTAAATTTAATCATGTAAAAATACTAAAAAAATAAACACATAAATAAATAATACCAAAAGAATAAAAAAAAACCAAAAAACGAAATGGCTCTACTGGAATAGCTCGATGCGGCTCGGCTTCAAGTTCAGGAGACAGCTTAGAGGCTCAGCTTAGTGGCTGGGTTTGCTGCTCGGCTCAACTGGAGCCAAAGGTAGGGATGTAGGTTGAAGGTGGGTCGAGCGTTTGGATCGAGTCGCCTAGTAGTAAAACGTGCGAATCTTAGGTTAAATTAAAATGTCAAAATGATATCGTTTTAGAGCTGATATAAAAGGTAGCACCTAGCCTTTTTTCCTTATATTTCACTTTCCCCTTCTCTCTTTTTCTTTTTCTTTTTTCTCCCTCTCTTTTTAACCCAAATGAACTCTGATTGAATTATTCATCGGATTCTAGAAATCCCGTAAGAATCTGGGTTGGATAGCCGAAAATTCATCGAAAAATTCAATCAATGCGGAATCTTCAACCGGATTCTAAGAAACTTGTCAAAAAATTCAATTGGTGCTGAAAAAGTCACCAAATAATTCAACCGATGCCAAAAAAATTTCGTCGAAATCTAAAATTTTTTAAAAAATTCCCAGAAAAAAATTTTTTTACTCAAAAAAATTTTCAAATTTTTTTACTCAAAAAAATTTTCAAAATTTTTTTTTGCTTTCTACTTTTCTGTTGTTTGTGTTTCTGTGTATTTATAGGGATCAGAACCTAAAACTCAGAAAAAATTTTAATCCTTTCTGAGTTTTAACTCTAAATTTTAATCCAACTTAAACTTCTTATACACTTTCACACAAACTCAACACCTTTTTTTAGTTTTCGCTTTTTTTATTTTTTATTATTTTTTATCTTTTTATTAACAAAATTCAAATCTTATAGACCCTCAAATAGATTAAGGTGTCTACAACGTTTATTATACATGTTACGTGCGACACAACATAATTAATACGTATATAATCAATCTATTTAAATACGATATAAATAAATAGGAATAACACAAATATATAATAATAAACATGACTAACACGAATATACATAAATAGACATGACTAATGCAAATATATAAAAATTACGACTAAAATAATAAATAACTATAAACTATTCATAATTTACAACTTAATAAACTTGACAATTAATAATATAAAAAAATACTTACATATTAAAAAAAAAATTTATATCCATTTAATATGTATTCAATATATATTTAAATTTTAATATATATTACATAATTATAATAGTTTTTAGTATCAAATTCAAAATAATAAATAATTAAAAATTAAAGAATAAAATAATGATGTGTAAGATTAATATTAAATCTATATTGTATTTACCTTATTAATATAAAAAATAATTTTACAATAATTATTAAATAATTATCATAATTAGATGTTTAAAATAATCATTATATAGTATTAAATAGCTAATTAAGTATTATAATTAAAAGATTAAAAATAAAATAACTTTTTTATGTTTATATTAAATTAAAATAAATCTAAAAAAATATATTAAATATGTTGAATATGTATTTTTATGATAAGATTAAATTTAAAATATTTTTTGTATTATATCATATGTTAAATATATATCGATAATACATTTTATCTAAATATATTTTTTATTTTTTACACATATTTAAATATATTAACATATATAAAATATTATCGTATCAAAATTTATATTAATACAAATAAATTCGAATTATATTTTTTTAATATATATATATATATGATTTTTTTAATATATTTTTGTATTATATAATTATGTCGAGTCTGACATTATTAGATGTAACAATTGGTATGGAACGAACGTTTGGCAAATGGTGAAAGGGTGGAATTTACTCATCCTTAGTTTTCTCACCTGATAAGATGTTGAGGGAATTGACTATAAGTAGTAAAGCCGTAACATCTCATTAAATGCAAAATTAATGAATCTTAACCACGTGGAATTCAATGACCCCATAATTGAGAAGAAGAAAAACACATCATGTCTAACAAAATTTGCAGGGTCAATATTGTACTATTAAAAATAAAAGCGAATTGAATTTAAAATTTTAATTAATTAATTTATACTTATAATTATTTTTTAAAATAATATTTAATAAATCTAAATATGATAATTTCTTATATATAATATAATAATAATAATAATATCACATGGAAACGGTCAAAGGAAGCCATAAACTTGGAAAATGGTATCCCCATAAAAAGTTTGTGAATGAAAATGGACAAATTTGATGAGCTTTACCAGTGTTTGAAGGAAGGGAAAGATCAAATATTGTTTCTTTGAATGGAAAATTAGTAGTGCTTTTAATCAAAGAATGGACTTCTCACTGGTTGAAACTTGAATGTTCTTAGCGGAACTCTGAAGCAAGGGATCGAAATGAAAGCAAGCAGGGGCAGTTTGGTGGCCAAAAGATTTAATCCTGTAAATTGGAGGAGAGAGGGAAGCCTTGACTCTGGTATGTTTCCTATGAAAATTTGGTGGTGTTGCCATTAATATCATTGTGGGTGTTGTTCATTTTTAATTATCTGACTTCTGTTGAACATTTAAATTGGGTTTAGCTGCCATTAAATTTCTTGGTGTTTGATATTAAATTCTTAGGTGGCCTTTGTGTTGGTTGTTTTAAAATCTGGGGTTTTAGCCATAAAAGCCGTTGGGGATTACTTGCATATAATACAGTCGAAATCACTTAAGAAAGCAATGAATGAAGGCTTTCCTTTTCCTTTCCTTTCCTTTCCTCCCTGCACTTTTTGTAATTGCAATAATTTTTACTGCGATTTTCCTCCTTCTGCATTACTTCTTGGGATTTTTCCAAACCATTAATACATTTCCTGGCCTCAATTCACTCTTCTTCTACCAATCCTTCAATTCCATTCTCTCTCTCTAACCTACACCTCCACCTCTCCCCACTACAATTTAATTATGCTTTAAATAAAACCCATCTCTCTCCCTTCATTTCTCCCCTTATATATGTTGCTCTTTCTGCTTCAAACCCCTCACCACTTCCCCACTCCAATCCCTCACCTTGTTTTTTGATTCTGCAAGAAGAGGATTTCCTCAGGGTTTCAGGCCTTCAGCCTAGCCCACCCTCCTTTTCCCACCTCTCATCACTCACTTCTTAGAGTACCAGGACAGCCTCTCTTTTCTCCTCCTAATCCTACACTGCCTAAGGTTCCTTAACCTTCAAGGTAACTAACATTCAATCTTTTTTTTTTCTCCTATGGTAAAATTTTTCAATACAATTCAATTGTTATATATATTGAACTAACTTCCTTTTTCTGTTTTTCTTTGGGGGTTCTCTTACATGTTTCATTCAGGTTAATTATATACGTAAACATACAAAGATGAGTCGCAGAAATGGTCCCAAGCTTGAGTTGAAGCTGAACCTATCACCTCCAAGGCTTAATCCAAGAGTGGAATCACCAAGCCGATCAGCTATCGTGTCACCGACATCTCCTCCAAGCTCATGCGTGTCATCAGAGATGAACCAGGACGTTGACACTAGCACTGTCAGATACTCAAGCAGCCCTGAGACAACATCAATGGTGCTGGTAGGGTGCCCAAGGTGCCTGATGTACGTGATGCTGTCAGAGGATGACCCTAAATGCCCCAAATGCAAGAGCACCGTTTTGCTTGATTTCCTCCATGATACTACTGCCACTAACAAGACTAGAAAGAGTTAGACTTGCATCTTCCCCTTCCCCTTCCCCTCCCCCTCCCTCCCCCCCCGGCCCTTTTGCATATTTTAGTGTCGGCTATCAGGACTTTAAGTTATAGCTCCCTTCCTTAAATGTTACCCTTTATTTTTCTCAGATAGAGCTATTGGCCCTGCACCTTTTTTTTTCCTTTCTACAAGCTCCTCGGAGAGCAAAAATTGTTAGTGATAAAAAAAGGTGGAGCACGAATAGCACTTTCGTTTTCTTTTTTTTTTTTTGGGGGGGGGAGGGTTCCTAATCATAGAACATAGAATATGGGCGTTTATGGTAGTGAGTGTCTCACTTTTTTTTTGGGGGGTTTCTTCACTCTTTAGCAGAAGACTACTGTAAACTGGTTTAACAGCTGAAACTGCCCAAATTTTCCTAGGAACAAGGGAAAAAATATTTCGTAGGCAAAAGTGGTGTGTTTTCTCAATTCTAGTCTTTGTTTGGTTTCACTTTTTTTTTTTTGGGTTTATATCATATCAGAAAATGCCACGTCAGTTGTTGATGGGGCAATGACGCAACGCTCAGTTCAACTAAGTGAAAAAGAATGATCACTGAAATTTTACCTGATCCCTAAAACATGGGTAGAATCCCATGACAAAACAAAGGTTAGATTTTCTAGTACTTGAGAGCATCATGTCATGCTACTACAGACTTTTGGCCCACCATGTCATGATTGCCTTCTCAGTTCTCAGCTAGCTATCGTTGCTTTTTGATAAGAGAATAGGGCTTAAATCATCCACCAAAGTTAACAACTTGCACGAATCAAACGCCAAATGAAGCTCTCTTTCTTTTTTGCCTCAGGGCCAGGGGAGTTTCCTGCTTCTGCCAATTGCAAATCCAATGGGCTAAATCCTGAGCTTCAATTGTCTGTAAAATTTAGCCAGAGTCACCACTTAAAACAGAATTCCTCACCATACAGTTTCCTTCCATAGATATCAGGATTCAGGAAGCAAAAAACAATATCAAATTATCTTAACTGATCCAAAACCTAATTTATTAACCTGCTACATAAATAAATTTATTTAAATCAACCCAAAAAAAAAATACTAAACAAAGCACAAAGTCCAAAAATCCCTTGCTATTTAATAAATAAATTCTTAAGAGTACTCATTAACAGAATCCAAACTTAAAACTAGAAAGAGTTTATTAAAGAAAAAAAGAAGAAAAGGGGTAATTGGGTAAATGAAGGGGAGCAAGGTTGGGTAGTTCGAGCATTGAAAAACAAGGCGGAACCATATTAGATTGAAAGACCATTAAAACACATAAATGCATAGAGTAATTGAGGCGGTTGAGAATAATGAAGGGGTGTTACATCATATGATAAATACAAATTTAATTCCAATCTCTTCATTTTTGCATTCATTTTCACTCTGTTGTCATCACTCACTAAATGCCACATATCTGCTGCCATTATCCACTTTTGTAACCCTTTCTCTACTTCTTTGTCCATTTTCAGACCATTCAATTCAATTTCTTTTTCTGTCTTTTCAACCCTCTTGAAATCTAGTAGCACTAGCATAGGGAATATAAAACAGGCATCATTTGTCTGTTATCATAATTTCAAAGTCACAGAAAAATAATGGTGAAGAGCATCACCAGAAGAGAAATAACTTCAATTTTCTAAAAATAATCTTAGGAAAAAAAATGCAGCATGGCAACTCATAAATAGGCAGGGAGAGAGTTCAAGTAGGAACAGTGCAATCAATAAGCTGGAATACAACATCTTCTAATTGATATGAAGATGCCAAACAAACTACAATATGCAACAGTAACTGAAAGGTTTGATTGTTCAGTTCCTTGTCAGATTTTGAATTAGGAATCTAATCAATCAATAACAGAAATTTTTAGTTTCTGATACCATATAAATCTTAGTTTCAACCTCATCCGTTCAGTCATTGCCTAAAACCAATATCGAATTGTACCAAATGACAGTAACAAAGTTTGGCATGAGTTTTTTCTTAACTACAGTTTGATGGCAATAATCATTAATCTACCAGACCTCGTACCTGAAATATATTTCTGACCAAGCAAAGATTCAGAAACAATATTTGTTATGAAACATAGGTGCTACTGGTGCAACAAACCAATTATAAATCTCTGAAGAGATAAATGACTCGTTTCAAAATCAGCAGTGATTTAAAGGATCTAAGTTCAAGACAATAACTGAAACAAAAAGAATCATTCATGCCAAACCTGTTGTTCTTTATTCAAAATATTCTTCCTCTATGTCACAATAATACTACATATAGAATAAATCATTATCAACTACACTAGAACATGCTACTCACTCTATTCTTCGCCATGTGTTTGCATGCATCTCATGTATGAAAAACTAATAACTTTATTTAACTGGAAAACCAATTTATCGAGACTATTTTTAGAATATGGGGAAGAGATTGAATGATAAGGCCAAGCAAGCCATTGAAACCACTGTATAAGACCACACCATCAACTCTCGACTTATATAGTAGAGGAAAAACCCTACCTTTTAGGAGCAGTGAGCACATGAACTGACAAAAATGTCAAACATTTTACTGGTGAAAGGTCACATGAAATTCTCAAGTCATTATATTTAGGGTCAATTTACGACATAAATCGCAAAGAGACAAGTAAATATATATCAACATCAGCTAGATAAAAGAAAGGAGGAAGGGAAGATGATGGTTATAACCTATTGCTTTCTTTCTGCTTCAGCAAACAGCTAGCCTGCATACTAAAAGTATTCCCACCAAATTCCCCAGAACTTTCAAGATAGCATGCAACAAATAGATTGATTAAAATACCATACAAACTATTTACCTAACAGAATAGTAACCAATTTATCCAAGAAAAATCATTCAAATGTTTTTTTCTGATATGAGAAATACTCTTGGATCACCTTAACTCCAGCCAGAATTCCAGATATCAAGTTTCATTCCCAAGAAAATAGATGGAGAAAACTTTCTAGAATAGATGCTAATGCATTTTATGCTTTTTTTTTTTCTCAATTTGTATGCATTTGATGCCAATTGCCAAATAGTTTGAATTCATAGCAGAAAACCTGCCAAATGGTAAACACTTTATCAACTGACTTGTCAAAGTAAAAAGATTATTTCATAATAGCATTAGCAACCAACCTACTAAAAGTTTTGCATTAGAAGAAATTACTTTTAATTTTCAGTTATGATTTTCACATTTTATGGGAATCTGCTGCTTCCTTATCACACATATTAAACAACATATATCCACACCATTATGACTTTCAGATAGGAAAGACAACTTTTGACTCCCAACGTTATATGGATTTGAGGATTAATTAAAATTAAAACATGCTTAGAAAAAGCCAAAGAAACTTGTCAGTAATAGTCTGACACTGGTTTGCAGCCCAGTTCATTTAACTCATATGATTCAGGTCCACTAGAACTTATTTGAACAATGCTTTGACTTTCTTAAACTAATTGAAGCGTATTCAATAAAAACCTGCAAGGATCCATGAACATGTCATATATAATGCTTTTATTCTGAACACTGCTGCATACTCAACTCACCTTAGATAAATCTATGAAAATGCTTCAATCTGGAAACTATTCAGCTCATGATCATATCTCACATTGTCCAGATCACAATATTTTAGTCTTTACAATCACATTAGTTTTGTATGTAAGCATTACCATACAAACTGAAGTTAAACAAGCACAAAGGTCATCTGTTCTTGTGGTGCTTCACCTTTATATGATAACCTCTAAAACTTTGAAATTCTCACTTCAATACACCTTTGTTAGACAAGTAAAATGAACCACCTTCTAGCTCATGTCCAATGGTGAAATTTCTAAATACATGCCTTTGCAGGACAGGATGCATAAAAAATATCAAACCTTTCATATATTGTTTAAACCATATTTCTGAGCAGCTATATATTTACAAGAATTTATCCCTAAAATTAGATAGATAATAATGGTAACATATCTGTAAGAAGCAACAATAAATAGTGCAATAGAAACCACAAACAAAACAAAATTTTAATACTTCTAAGGGAAAACAATTAGATATGAAACAATCAAGTTAAAGGTAAAAGTATTCAACATTGAGCTTGAGAATTAAAGTGCATTATAATATTGAAAGGAAGAGCTAAGAAGCTTTACAAATTAGCCACAACAGGGGAAGCCTTGATGGTTAATACAGGACATTGCAAAGAGGGCAAAAAATTTCAGATATTGAAATATGCATAATACTACCACTCAAAACCTATCATACTAGTATAAAATTATTTTTATAAGGAAAAAGACGATATTATATTGATTCTAGCAGTACAGTTAGGGTAACCACATTGCATACTTTCTAGAAAATTACCTGTTCAGATCTTTATCTTGCAAAATATGCAACCCATACTATAAAATAGGGCCAAAATGTTGAGGCGCTCTAAGGACATAAAATAAGCTGTCACAAAATTCACAAAGCTTTTCAAGGGTGATTCAGTTCTCCCCATCCACTGCTGCTTCTGATATACTTGTCAACAATACCAAATTCTTCATTTTGTGCAACTCGCCTGGCATAGTTCTCAGTAGAAATAGGACCTTTCTTCAACCTCCTGTAATAGACAATCTGCCAAGGCCACAAGCGAGCAGAACCAAAGTAGGCTTCCGCAGATTGATGCCTTTCATTTTCATCTGGAGGTTCTAGGCCATAATGCTTCATGACCATACACAACTCCTCCAAAGATATTGAGCTGCCACAGGTAAGCTCTGAATCAGTTTTTACAGGTGCTACTATCACATCCTCTGTTGTCAGTGCATCAAAATCTTGACCACCCTTGATCTCTCTCAAGCTCTCTGGAGACAAACTCCCAGAAGCAAGAGCACCTCTCTCTGAAAGGGGTGTGCTTGAATTTTTAACTTGAGCCACTGACCTGGGTGTCATATGATTATCACTGTTACCTCGCTGCATAGCTTGGTCCTTTTCCACTTCATTTTCTGCTTTGCCAGATGTCCCGGCATTTTCAATATTCACTGGAGCCACTCTATTTTCAAATTTTGCATTCTCCAAGTCAAAATCACCTTCTGCTGGTTCCCCTCCAACCATAATCTCCTTGGATTCTGGAGAGTTAGACTTACCCGAAGTGCCTTTCGCATTCAACTGCCCTTTGTTTGGGGATGATGGTAAAGGCCTACCAAGGGATACAGACAAAGACAATGATGTAGGAGTGCTTGACCTTGAGCTAGACTTAGAACTTCTGGATCTTGAATAATGTGAACTGGATCTCAAATTGTTTGACGACGATTGTGCTCTAGATGATATGGATCTTGATGTAGACCGTGAAATTGACCTTGGCATATGCTTTATGGATCTAGATTTTGAACGTGATCTGGATCCACCGTAATCAGGACAATGTGGAGAAGAAATTGGCTTTGCTTTCTTTGAACTATGTGTTTTAGGAGTTCCACCTCTCCTACCTCTCTTCTTTCCTCCATAGTCCTTTTCCCAAGCCCTATCAGTTTCCTTTGCAACAAGGGAGTTTCCATTCTCTATCAATCTCCTATACATTACTGAAGCAGATGCTTTTCTGGTATCTTTGAATCGCTTTTTTCTTACAGGATCCTTATCTTGTCGCATCTTAGCCCGAGAACTGGATCCAAAACTTGCCAGGCCACCTTGTCCTCTACCTCCTTTACCAGTGTCATTGTCATGTTTGAGGTCAAACCTAGAGCCTGAATTATTTCCACGGGGACAATTATGCTTTTTGTGACCCAGGGCACCGCAGCTGTAACAAGTTTGATGTGCTTTTGAATCCTCAGGACGGTTCATAGTTCCTTCACCTATCAGCTCTCTTGCTATTTTCTCTTGAGGGCTTTGTGCAGCAGGAGAACTACTGGGATACACAATTTGAGGGTTTTCATTGTCATCATTTCTGTCATAACCTATGTAGCGGTCAAATTCCATGTCATGCTCAACATCATTACTATTAGACCGATCATAGCATTGCCCATCCCACCTATCACCGTCAATCAGGTTTGGTTCAACTTCACCACCTTCATTCAGCAAATCTTCCCCATAGTTATGATTGTCTTCCCCTGTGTATACTTTAAAATGGCTTTGATGGTAGTCTACCTCCGCATTAAGCAAATCAGGAGAATTAAGCCTGACACCATGACCGTCCAGTTGTTCAATTCTCATATTGTAATCTTGCTGAACATTTAAATCCAATTTTCTATTCCCGTAATCTCCACCTCCAGCAGAACTCCTAACTCTAAGTGGCTCATGATCATAGGAAGCCCTAGCAAATTTTTTGAAACATCTAGGTTGTTTATTTGACCATGTGAGAGTTAATGGCTCCCCACATATATTTCTTCCCTGAAGTGCTCTCAAAGCTTTCTCTGCATTTGAAGGGTAGTCATACACAACAAATCCATAGCCACCTTTCAGCCGTACATTGCATCTTCCAAACCTTCGGAAAACACACTCAAGTTCATCCCCACGAGTGCGAGATGATAGACGGCCAATATACAAAGACATCTACAACAAAAATATTAGACAAGAAAGAGAAGAATAATTACTCCCTTACAAGAAAGAAAATCAACTTATATACACACTGCACAAGTTTAAACAATGTAGCATTATGCACACTTCATTTTGGTGTTAATAGTTGCAAGAAATAATAATGCTTCCATGCTAACAAACTATACAATACTCAGACAGGTCAAAAGAAACAATTTTTTATACTGCCTTAATAAATAAGTGGTAGACATCATTCAATTTGCATTGCCAACAATAATAGTGATGCAGACAAAGTTATCCAAAAATTCAACAACAAGAAGAAGGGCCAATTACTCCTTCAGATTTACATTGATTATAACGGACATTGAGCAGGACCCAACTGAGTTTAAAACCCAAAAACATCACAATTTCATTGATTCATGTGAGCTACTGCATACACTAAAGAGATTTGAAACTTAAAATCTAAATAGCCATCGGGGGAAAAATATGTCACTAAAGTATGGGCACATACAACAACTCCAATGCATATATCAGATGAAGTATAGTTGAAAATGACAAGTCAGTCAAATTAGTACAAGTATTTATGAGTTTGATTGGACTCGGAAAGGCAAACCTTTAACAACAACAATTATAAAGTTTTTTTTACTTCTTTCCAATCCATACTTCATATATTCAGCTTCTCAATCAACCCAGTTAACAGCAAAGAAGCAACCTAAAGATAAGAACTTAGAAAGGAAAAACCACCCATAAAAAAAAAAAGAAAAAAACTAAACAGAAGTTATCCTTAACTTGAACCAAGCATTTTGTTGGAAAACAAAACAAAATACAAAAAAAGGGGAAAGGTTTCCGTTTCTTATAGGCACTTTATCAAACATCTAATACGCATAAACAATAGCATCATCTCCAGTTAATCATCTAATAAACTAAGAGAAACCCAGATAAGGAAAACAGTAAAGAATAGAAAACTTAAAAGAAATGCAGAGATACCGAACAAAAGCAGTGGAAAATAGCGGAGACAAAGAGTTAGTGTTTGGTAGAAATCTTTCTGTCTTTCTTTCTTTCTTTCTTTCTTGAAGGACTGGTGTGGCGTGAATCTGGTGTTGAAGACTGAAGAGTCTTTGAGTGTGGACCATGCGCAGGACCTTCCACTTTATGGTCAATCGACTTCAACGCCCTTCGTCGTTTTCTGAGAGAAGTAATTAACAAAAACCTTGCTCCATTATTCTACACCTTTTTTCAAAAGGCACCTAGAATATTATGGATTACTTACTGTTTTAAATTTTTTAAATTATTTCTTAAATCCTATTTTTAAATTATTTAAGAAAACTTTAAATTATCAATATACTTTATATGAAAAATAATTAAATTGAGTTTAATTATAATAGATATAGTGAGAGTTATAAATATAAATATTTATTTAACAAATTTTTACAACTATTCTATACTTCAATCTATTATATACTTCAAAATTTAAAAGTTCTTGACAATAAATACTCAAAATTTTAAAAAGATGTCTAATATAAAAAAAAATTATCCATGTATTTAAAAGAATTTTAATTTGTAGGTTTACTTATTATTAAATTAATAATTTTTGAAATCTGTCCCTTAATCTTATTTGTTCATCGGTCATTTTTATAAATGATATTTGATAAATTTTAATTTAATATTTATAGTATTATTTTATTTTTAAATTATGGATTTTTTTTATAAAAATAAAAATTTTCTCATAATTTTGAGTTGAATGATTTTTAAACTAGTTGATATGTTATTAAAATTGATATTTTAAATATTCGAATTTAAAAGAATTTATACTCGTAATATCTTTTTACAATCAAATAAATAATAAGATAAAAAGAATTAAAAATATATCTTAAACTTAAAAAAATAAATTAACAATTCATCAAATAAGGATTAATATCATGAATAATTTTTGAATTATAAAAAATATTTAATATAATATTTAAAATTTAAAAATATTTAATGTAATATTTAAAATATGAATATAATAACGAATACAATATTTAAAAAATTATTTATTCGTTATATGTTATCATTTGAAATTAATTATATTATAAATAGTATCATATTAATTAATAAATTTATAATTTAAATATTAAATTAAAAAAATTTTAAATTTAAATATTATATTATAATTTAAAATCTATTTATAACACTAACCCTAAAAAAAGTGAATCTAAATTTTTCCAAAAGCAAAAAGCTCATTAAGCATGGCTATATGATGAAATCATGTGTTAATACCAATCCACTAGTATCCATACCAAGGAGTATTTCACAATTTTTCATTTTCATTATCCTTTTTCTGTTTTTTTTTTTAATTTTCTTATTATATTTGATATTCTAATTAGAATCACTATTAGTCTATTAGGAATATATTTTTATTATTTTAATTAATAAATAGAAAATAAAAAAAATCAGATGGTCCCTACTTCCCCATAGCTTTGCCTTTCGTCGCCTTTCTTCACAATAATTTGTACTCTGGCTCCTCGTTAGCTCTCTCTCTCTCTCTCTCTCTCTCTCTCTCTCATCGATCAGATCTCTCCGAACCCATCAAACAAAACCGTCCAGTGAATCATCCATGACGCTTGGCTCAGGAGGATCGAGTGTCGTGGGTCAGCTTTTCGATCCCCTTCTCCCTTCTCCTCTTTATTTTATCTCCCTCCTTGTTTCTCGATTTGATCTTGCGTTTTTATTAATCATTCCTAGAATCCATTTCGTGGGTTTCTTAGATTTTGTTGTTTTATCGTTTCTTTCACATATAGTCATATATTATTCGTGGGTTTGGTTTATTTATATGGATTATTGATTAAGATAAGAAATTGATGGAATTCCCTCTATTGTTTTTTGGGTTTTTTATCTATTTAAAGTTTTTGTTAGCTGTTAATTTTTGTATTTGTTTTCAGGTTGTTTTCATTACTGTTATATTCGATGTAAAAAATGAATCTTTTTGCCTAGCGTGAGTATGTGTTTAACAATTTAAAGCATGTTGTTTGGCTATCTTATGATGTTTTAATTTTATGATGAATGTTCTGTTTTGGTTTATTAATGATTATTTTTAAAATTATATCTTTTCTCTTTTTCTGAATAGCCATATATTTGACAAATTGAGACTTCTCGTGGAGACTGCTATATGAAATTTTATATAAATGTTTGATGATTTCTGCTCTAATAGTTGATTGAATATGTTTTGCATGGAAAATCTTGAATCAAAGAATATAGAATTGTGCATGTCTTTGAGTATTTGCTACTTTTTTTTTTCTCTTACTAGTAAACTATATATGCATTGATGATAATGAAGTTCTTTTGGTGTATAAAATTTGTGCTGCTTTAGGCTGGTAAAAGTTGTAATCTCTCCCTTATTTGAACAGTTGCCATTGGGGGACTAAACATATTTTTTATTGATAGCTTTTCATAACTACTCATTTGTCGGTTGCTAGGCTTATTAGGAGCCCTTTAAAAAAAGGGACATTAGAGACAAATCACTCTTGTCATTGTCCGTGTCGCTTCTTTTTCCCTTGTATACTACATGGATCATCAAACTTCTATAGACATTTAAGTGTGAGCCTTGAGCTGGAGGAGATTGTAATAACTGGAGACTAGGGTGTTTAATGAATGTCCATTAATGGCTTAGAAATAATTAAGAAGTGCATATTAACTTAGGTTGAGATGAGGAGAACTTTGTGCTAAAATTTTTTGCTTATTTATATGGTGCCCTAAGTATGTTTACTGCTTAGTGTCATTACCGATGAATCTCTAGGGATTTTTGTCCCTATTTACAATTAGGTAGAATAAAATGAAACTAGTACAAGCTTGTGCTAACTGCTGATATAAACTGATATACAAGAAGTTTTTGGAGCTACTTCCTCCATAATCATTGAGTCTAAGTGAGAGAAGTAATTAATATGTGGCAGGTGTACTATGATTATGCTTATGCAATTGGATTGGTAATCATGCTACATGATTGAAACGGAATAATTAATTACCTTTCCTTTTTGGAGATGAAATTTGTTGGAATTAAGCCCAATGCTAGGTCTGTATATGTTATTAGCATAACAGATCTTGAGTATTATAAGTTCTTTTGGCAGTGCCTCGGAACTTCAGGTTGCTGGAGGAGCTTGAGCGTGGAGAAAAAGGTATTGGAGATGGTACTGTCAGTTATGGAATGGATGACGGAGATGATATTTATATGCGCTCTTGGACTGGCACCATTATTGGTCCGCACAATGTAATTTATTTTTCTTTTCCTTTTTTGTCAATAAATCATATATTTTGGAGTTCTTCCTTTAGATGAAATTTTGTGTTTGTTATGGACAATCATATCTGAATCTTCTGAAGCATTGAGTACTAAAACCCAGCTTTTGACAAAAACAGAGAACTTAATGCTTGTTCTCAGTTTTTGTTTTAATTATTAAGCCAAGGGTGTAAAAGATCTGCTGATTTGTAATGGATTACCCTCCTATCTTATTGTTGCTCATAATTCATTTCACAAATTATTAGCATTGTGGCATCCTGGTTCTTGTCTTTGGGATTACCTTACTCTTATTGCTTTTGAACTGAACAATGGTTTTGCTGGGGGATTATGAAAACTATCATTTTGTATATGCATTTCTATTTCTTCCTTTGTAGTGATTTTTGTTTTTCATGTTGTCAGACTGTGCATGAAGGTCGAATATATCAGCTGAAGCTGTTTTGTGATAAAGATTATCCTGAGAAGCCTCCAAGCGTCCGTTTTCATTCAAGGATTAACATTACTTGCGTTAACCACGAAACTGGAGTGGTACACTAATAATGTTGCGTTCATTTGCAGTGCAATGATCAGTTTATTTTATTTCATATCTGTTGGTTAATCTTATGCTGCTTTTAATCTATTGGTTATTTTAACTATTCACTGGTTTGACAACAGTGCAATCTGGTACGTTCTATTGTGTAAATTACCCCCCTTTCCATAGACATGGAATTCGGGTGCTCAAAATTTTAGAAGTAATTCAACTATCCAGGGCATTCTAATTTGTACAATTGTATTATTTATATTGTTATCAGTATGATGACAGAAAACCTAGTGACAAGAATTTGATGGTATCCAATGGCAACAGGTGGAACCAAAGAAGTTTGGACTTCTTGCAAATTGGCAGAGGGAGTATACTATGGAGGATATACTGACACAGCTGAAAAAGGAGATGGCAGCCCCACATAACCGAAAGCTGGTCCAACCTACCGAGGGTACCTACTTCTAGCTCTCTAGTTCATATAGATATCCTGGAGTTAGATTTGTGGTAAGCTATATAGTTTGTAATGCTTGTTGATCCTGTTTAAGTTAAGAAAATACTGGGTAATGCCTGAAAAAGGCTTCTCCAATTACTTCTCCTTGGCTTCATCTTCTTTATCCTTTTTTTTTGTCGAACTCTGTTGAAGAGATGCTGTTTTAATGGGAATTTATCCGTGTGTCAAATATTAAAAATACCCTTTTGATTATTGTTTAAGCTCTAGCACTTTTTTCCCCTTTATTTTAGTAGCTTTTCAGAATTTACATGTTCTTTGATCTCTTTATTCCTCATTCACTAAAAAGTTCAAAAAAAAAAAAAAAAAAAGAAGAACACAAATATCTTTCTCACCAAAGATTAAAAAGGGGTGAGACACAGGAATTGTGCCACTTCTGCTGTAAAAACCCGCTTAGGTTGATTGCTCAAGGCCAGCTATCTCCGGCGATCGAGCAATGCAGCCTGCGGCTTTGACCTGTGTCATGCAAATCATGCTTCCAAATGAGAGGAAGCCCAGGTTGAGGACAGGTTATGCCTTATGGTTTATGCATATCTTTTTGGGGGACAAGTTTTTCATCCATGTTAATCCTACTGAAACAAGCAAAAGAGAGAAGAAAAGAGACTAGAATCTTAGGAAAGAAAAAGTGTTATCCGTTTGTTATTTTGGTGTTTTGTTGTCATTTTAGTATTTGATGTTTTCTTATGAAATGGTGCTAGACTTCCTGGATTGATTGGTGGGTGGTTTCATTCTTATGAAACGTTTTTGTTCTTAGTAGTTAGTATTCACGTCATCATCTACGCCGTTAATCATTTGCAAAGAAAACAAAAAGAAAAGAAAAAAAAAAAAGATGAAAACAACTCAACAGAATCAACTTTCTTATCAAGCATTTTTTTTTGTAGGTTGTATCGTGAAAAATTCCTGATTACTTTTTTGAAAACAAGTGCTCTGAGAGTCATATTTATTGAATCAGCATCAGCTAATGCAAATTGCAAATGCATCACCGTTGGAATCACAAAAAAAAACAAAAACAAAACAAAAACAAAAACTGTTTTTTTAAACAATATATATATATATATTATAATTTTATAAAACTCTTTTTTTATATATTGTTTACAAATTAAAATATTTTACGAGCAAAGATAAAAATTGACCTATGTATTTTTCATTTAGTTTTTAAAATTTTTTAACGTATCTTAAATGGATATATGTTACTGTTATTGTTTAAATTTTATTGGTGGAATTTAAAAATTTCACTAAAAGTGGATAAGATGAAGTTTGAAATTTTATATTATTCAAAAGAAATAAAATTTGAATCTTAAACATTAATCATTTGAAATAAAATGACAATTGTTCAATTAAATTTAAAATATTTTGGACAGTAAAATCTCGAAAACCTTATGATCAAAATTATAAAAATGCCAAATATTTATTTAATATTTTTAATTAAACCACCTAAAATATGGCTTAATCGCCGCAAACACACACCAAGCCGGCAGTAAAACTTTGATATTAACCATGGCATTTCTTTCGTTTTTGTTTTATCCTCCCAACCGTTTTTTAAATTGGAAAAAATAATTACTCCTTTCATTAAATTAATTAATCATTAATTTAAATAATTTTTTTTAAAAAAAAAAGCCTTTCTTCCCACAGGTCTTTATCTCTCGGTTCTTCCGCAAAAATAAGCCCTAAAGCCCAAACTAAAATTTCAAATCGCAATTTAAATCCAAGGAAAGGAAAAGAAGGAACGTCTTGATTGAAGCTGCGACGGATTTCCTTGAAAAAGATCCGAGAAAATGTCTGATAAATCACCTCCTGGACGAGAGGTGGTCGTGGTACGTTCCGTTTGGTCCGACAATTTGGAGTCCGAATTCGAATTAATCAGATCCATAATCGACGGCTTTCCGATCATTTCCATGGACACCGAGTTTCCCGGCGTTGTCATCAGGCCGACTTCACCCAGTGGTAGCCAATACGTCCGGCCGGGTGATGCAAAGGCGCATTATAGAAGCCTCCAAGCGAATGTCAATTTACTCAAGCTTATCCAACTCGGCATCACTTTATCGGACGGTGACGGAAATTTACCAGATCTTGGCACCGAAAACCGGTTCATTTGGGAATTCAATTTCAAAGATTTCGATGTCGCGAATGATGTCCATGCTCATGATTCCCTCGAGCTTCTCCGTCGTCAGGGCATAGATTTCGAAAAGAACCGGGAACTTGGGATTGACTCGGTCCGGTTCGCGGAACTGATGATGTCTTCGGGACTCCTCTTGAACGACGCCGTTACGTGGGTGACTTTCCACTGCGCGTACGATTTCGGATACCTCGTGAAATGCTTAACGAGCGAGCTATTACCGGATCAACTCACTAAGTTCCTGAACCTCGTGTGCTTGTTCTTTGGAGACAGAGTTTACGACGTCAAACACTTGATGAGGTTCTGCGCTGGATTATATGGAGGGCTTGACCGTGCGTCTAAAGCACTGGGGGTGAAGCGAGCGATTGGGAAGAGTCATCAGGCCGGTTCCGATAGCTTGCTGACGTTGGACGCGTGGTTGGAGGTCAAGAAAAGGTATTTTGGGAAGGGGGATCCCATTGAGAAGTATGCCAATGTTCTTTATGGTTTAGAAGTTGACTCTTCATGAATTTTAAAAAATTTCTTTTGATGTCTTCTTGTTTGAAGGAAACCTCATTGCAATTGTAGATTCTTTGCGCAATTGTTTCTAGGCAGTTAGATTTTTCTACACATTTTGTGGGTTATTGATCAATCGTCAATACTAAAAGTAGTTCAGCTTAATACTTTCAATTTCACATTTTCCCCATGTTGCGAATTTATATTTCTTGTTTTATATTTTTGTTAGATGTTTATTTTAATGGTAAGAAACAGCAAGAGAAAGCATGTGGTTGGACTTAGGCGGTTCAGGGAGGTAAAGCTGGACCATGTGTGAATTCAGTTGCACTGCATTTGGTGGTGTATATTGGGCACTGGCACAAGGTGGAACTTGGAAATTTCTTCAGAATTTTACTAGAACTTGAAAGATGTATTTTGTTTATTCGTTGGGATGAATGTGAAAGTGAAAGCTTTATCTCTTTATTAGTTTGTTTGAAATGAAGCTTTGCACTTTGAAGGAAGATGTATTGATAAGAAGGGCTTGAAATTTTAGCTTTCACAGTTGGGTAATGCCATAGGCTGCTGAGAAAGGTTGATGCAGGATTTAGGAGATAAAAGTGTTTTCTGATGATTTAATTGGAAGACTGAACTAACTGTAACTGACTCTGGTTTTTTTAAACTTATTTTGAAGGTCAAAAGATTTTAGTTGGTATCTGAAGTGAACAGCAAACTTCCAGTTTCAACTTTATGATCCTGGAACTGTCAGTTCAACATCAAATTTGCAATTTAGACTGCTCTGGGTAATGGAGGAGGCTACATTAGCCAGAAGATTGTTGTTGGTTTAAGGATGCAAATTTTGGGGTTAGGATATAGCCAATTGCTCTTTTCCTTGTTTATGCATCTTGTAAGAGAATTCGTGGTGGTTTCCTTGGCTTTTGAATTGGTCGCAATATGTTTACTTGACAGATGCGGTTATCAACTTAAAAGTTCCCCAATTATTACCTTGGTTAACTTGATTTTCTTCACAGTAATCTGGATTAGAATTTGGAAGTGCTTCAAATTTGTTGTCATATAAAATAGGAATCTTAGAGGGAAGAATGTATTCTCTGTGTCCATTATTGGTTGACCTAAAGGATGAATACATATTAAGAACAAGTGCAAAACGAGATAGATAGAGTCAAGTGGACTAAAATGAATTTATGATACCGACCATCTCGGTATTAGTCACCTAAGAATATTTAGAAAGGGATTTTTCTCATTGAGTCTAGTTTGTAACTGTTTTATGTTCTTTCCCTATGGAGAGCAATGGCATGAATAAAGATTAAAACTAGAGCTGAGAAGATATGGTAAGAATATACCAATCCTATAAGAACTATAAACAATGGCAAGCAAGGAGGATAACCCTAAACATTAGGGATCTCAATCCATGTCTCTTGATTTGTAAAATTTGTGCAGTGTTCTTCAAGTGGTTATACTCTGGGTAACATGTGTTTCCCTCACAGCTATTAAACCATTCAAGTTCAGGCTTGCACCTTCAGGGACAGTCTTGTGCTATGTGCTACTTTTAATTAGCTAAGATCTTAATAGGTATTATTGCTAAAAGACCAGCTATCCAGACATGTTGTTTAAACTAATTCATATATGTAATTGCAAGGTTACTTCCTTGCTTACAGCTGAAAACTACTAATAGATTGACTTGTTTGCATGTTTGACCACTGAGAGTTGATTTTTAGCCTCAACTCAAACCCTTATTATTATTATTGAACATAAAGGAGAGAGATTCATACCTGTCAAGTCGTGACTTTGCTACTTATTTCAGAACACACACACACACCCTTCTTGCTATTTAATGTGATATACATGTCAGAAATTAAACAGTCAAGACATTTGCCCTTACTCCCCGAAAGTGGCAGTCTTTGTAACCTATAATTTATTTTTCTGCAAATTATTTTTTGAGTGCGTATGAGTTTTTTCTTTGGGAGGAAAGAATGTATGAGTTGAGTGGCATTAGTAATGGTCATTGGTCATGGTTATCCAGGGTATTTATTTTTTATGATTGTTGCTATAATCCAGTTGATTGCCTGTAGTCCATGCTGATCTTTTGCATTTGAGTCCTGTATTCTAACCATAGAAAGGCATTTCCTTAAAGCAAAATCTTCAACTCCCTCATTTGAAGTATAGAAATGCATTATGATAATACTTTGATGGTTGATATATTTTATGGTGGACTCAACTGTGTGTAGCTGAATTGCTTGCATTGCCTCCAGTTTAGAAGTATACTGGTGATCCTCTCTCTCTCTCTCTCTCTCTTGATGGAAAGAAGTATGATGGATTAACAATTATGAACTGAGTGTAAACTAAACTGTGTGATTCCACTGTTGATGGTGTCGTCAGGTTTTTCTTTAAGTGATAGTATATTCAGAAAGTTCAGTGACTTACCACAGTGGTTTGCACTTGCTGTTTTCAGTGCAGCACCAGAGTAATGTCGCCTTTGAACTTCTCTCTGCCGAATGCTGATGCTTCATCATCGTCATTTCCTAAGACAGGTATGGATGCCTATGCACAACATAGAATTTGAGGCACTCAACATTGCTCATAACTAACAGTTACAACTGGCGTCTTTTATCAATTTAATTAACATAACTGTCTTGATTGAGATGGTTATAGTTTGTTATATATGTTTTATTTCATATGAGCTTGAGATGTTTTCAACTTTTCATGATAAGGTCTAACAATTATAATTTGAAAACGGCAAGAAGGCATGTAGTTACATGCGAATTTTGCTTTGTGAATAGTATTCAAGTATTTTGCGTTTGGTTGCTGAGAATTAAAAATTTTATGGCTAATCTTAAAAAATCTATTTATTTTTATGCTTGCTTATGCAGAGCTCACCACTCATGGAAAGCATTGGTTTGTGATCTTTTAATGCATGTTGCAGAGCATATTGTTTTAACACTGAGAAATATTTCTTGTACATTGTAGATATTTGATTCTTAAGTAATGCCTTGCTTCTGAAAGTCAGTAAATCTGAATACCGATGCAAATACTTGCATTTATGATTTTGCCAAACTGATTCTTGCAATAAAAGTCACTTTAAGGCCTTTGGCTTCATTGCAGATTTTTCTAGCATGTTGGCCATAGGAAAGAAGAAAATAACAACTTAGATATCTGTATATTTGCCCTCTTAAATTTGTACCTGATGATTAAGCAGTTGAAAATATGTTACTTCTGGAGGATCTTTTTGTCTGTCAAAGAAAATTGTTTAGCTTGTGGATGTCTCCCACATAAAGGGTAAAGGTCTTAATGTTTAGGTTCTTTCAGAACTTATGATTGGCATTGTTGATAATTAAGTATAGAAGTTTGTGGATGCCAGAAATGAACTTACAGATGTGTTGTTTTGCCTGTACTAAAATACCCATCGGAAATAAGAAATTTGGTGCTGGGAATTTAGTTAGAAGTAAAATGAAGTTCTGGGGTCTAGCCCATTTGATGTCCAGCATTAAACTTGCTTGAACCTTAGCAGTGGGTCAATATCAGAGGTTAAAACAACTGCAACTATTCAGCACACTTGACTTGCAAATTACACATTACATATAGGAAAACTTTTATTGTCTTTGTTTAATTCAGATTCAGGAGTGATTTGATGAATGCTATCTTTGTATTCAGCAAAATGAAGGAAAGTGTCTTTTGATTCCCAAAGTAACAACAATGAAAAGGTCTTTTCCCACCACGTAAGGTCAGCTCTATATGAAGGATCTTGTCTTGAGTATTTCTCTTCTCTTGCACTATGATATGTTTTCTTTGGTAACATTGTGTATAAAAATATAAATGGTCATCAGTCGGGTGTCTGTTGTGAGGAATGCTTGACTCTTAATTCCAATAGTTAGGCCATTAAGTAAAAAAAAAAGAATATAAATCAATGATTTTCTTACCTAAATGACGAACTTTTGAAATGGATTTATCTATAAAATGGATCAAGGGCCAAGGGTGGAACAGAAAATGATAACAATTTTGAAAATATAAATAGTATAATATCATTGTGTATTGAATTATGACTCACATGGCTAGAAGATAGAATGGGATAATGTTAGATCCTAGGTTTAAGTGTTATATTCAATTTGAAATAAGAAAAAAGAAAAGAGAGACAAGGTGGCACGAAGGAGGAATCTGGATTGCAAAAGTATACAAGAAACTCCTTTTCTGTTTGTTCAATCAAGCGCCTGGCGCTAAAAATGTTGAGTATGCTTTACAAAATATAATACACATGCAAAATTTGGGCTGGTTAGGGGTTGATTCATGAGCAGGGGTATAAGTGTTGATATTTAAAGTTGCCAACCATGCCTTAGATTGAGTTGAATACGTCTGTTGATTTGTGCATGATAGTCCCTTCAGGCCTTTACTTTTCTAGGTATGTGATTGTCTTGCAGGATTTTGTCTGATTTGAACAGAAATTCTAGCATTCATTCTGGTTCGTAATATTTATTTCTTTCTTGCAGAATAATTCTGCTTGCAGTACATACATAAAATTGTCTGTTTATGTTCCTTTCCCTTATTCCAAAATTTGATGTTCTCTCACTGGTTCATCATTGAAAGAAGAAACTTAGCTCTGAATTACTCGCAATTTGGTTCAATTTGAACTCAGAATTTAAGTCAAGTGATTCATGTAGCCATCCCTAAAAGGTGGCATTCAGGTCTGAAGTTTTGCTAGGTGTCTCCTCACTGGCCAATTTATAGAATATGGTAACAGATAATTCACTATAATGCCAACATTTTTGTCGAATTATAAACTCCATGAACAAAGAAAAACCAGAAACTGAACGTTGGGTTGGAAATCTTTTCATTGCAGGTCAACTATTTTTTGCAATTTAGCTGTCCTCAGATGGTCCAAAGTTTCTGTGATCGCGGATGAAAGCAGGGCCTGAAAAAAGAATCTATTTAAAGCCCATTGACCTTCATATATAATTTTGTCTACTTGCAAAAATGAAGGAATCTATCAACAACAAAAAAAAAATGGAATCCATGGGACCAATGATCCTAACAGTATTGTTCTACTCCAGGATTGGCTTGCATTTGCATATTAATCCTGAAGAACTGGATCCGGTTTGGGTGTTATTAGAGAGTCTTGTCAGAGAATGTGATATTCTATATTCTTGATTAAGCAGATTGATGAGACTGACATCTCGGTCATCATATCCACCAAGTCATGACTCAGCTCAGGCCAAATCATGCTGTATAAATTGTGACTGGCACATGTATTTGTACCCTTAACAAACAACCTCATGAAAATGAAATGGTTCATCAACATTTTGTGTATATGACAAAATGATCAATGAAACCAAAGCAAAAGAGGGAGAAAAATTCCTTCTTCATGTGATTCACCCACTGTTTCAAAGTGAAAAGAAAACTCTGCTATAATTAACATGGTATAATTAGCTAGGATTCTGTTACAAAGTCAAAATAGCTTATGTTTTTTTTTTTTTTGGTTGGGTATAAAGAGATCAAAGTCTGAGATTAAAAAAAAAAATTGTAAGTATTAATACTTTAATTTTAAATTTGCGTTGAATGTCACAGGTTTGTAGTAGAGATATCCATAGATATGGGTGTTGAGTTATTGGAATCCGAATAGATCCGAATAACCTCAAATGATTTCTTAAAATCTAATCCATCCATTAAAAATCATTTAAATCTAGTTAATTTAAATTTATTATTAAAATATTTTATAATAATATCATAATATTTTCAATATATATTTTAATTAAAATTAATTATTTAATAAAAAATATTTTCATGAATTAAGCTTGAGTTCAAAAATTTTACTCAAGGCTTGCTCAAGTACAACCAAGCCCACAGATCTGACGAGTAACTTAACTTGTGAACAGATTAATTTGTAATTTCTCCCGCACAAAGAATCCTCAATATTGGATGTAATATAAATATGGCAGATAAATGCCATGTTGCTCTTTCAAGTTAGATTTTTTTTTTTTAAAGAAAAAATTATGTTAAAATTTAGATGATTTTTTGAAAAAAAAAATTTTATATTATTATTATTATTTTTTTAAATAAGTTCAATCGTGAATATAGAAAATATGCAAGGATTTAAATATGGTCCCTACAAATTTTTAAAAGCAAGAGATATGATAATGGCCCATCTTTCACTCCTTTTTGAAAACGATCATCTTATGTTGGATTATACACCAATTTCCAATATTGCAACATTGTCCATGTGGCCAAAAAACAAAAGTTATTTTGATGATTTTTTTTTCTATTAAAGTACTTCAAATTTCGATAGATCTCTTTCATTAAAAAAAAAAAAAAAGAAAAAACTTTGATAGATCACTTATGATATCAATAATACTATACAATAAATCATTGGAACATGTGTAAAGGACAGTTATTAACTATCCATGATCATATATTCCTAGTGCACTTTTGGGCTAAGGCATTGCACTTAACCTGGCTTCTTAAGTTGTCTCGGTGTTTCCTCAAGTTTACATTTCATATTGACTCAACACATCGTCTACTTAGGTGTTTTACTTTTGTATATTATCATAGACTCTCTGCATCCAAGTCGAACCTTTTAATACCGATGTTCGAACACATAGAGTTGAAGAATGCAACCAACATTCGATCTGCCAACAATCTCCTTCTAGACAACACCACTGAGACTTGAACCCGTCGTAATCTTATCTCTGATACCACTTGTCGAGGTGATAAATCACACTTGGAGTCCATGATAACACATCAGAGAGCTCATACATACATGTTGGACACCACTTAAGCTCAAAAACTTAAGCTATTAGGCTCTTGGGTCATTCATGCATATATAGGATATCTCATTTAGATTTTTTAATGATATGAGATTCTTTACTCACATGTAAACTATATCCCAATGTAATTAATATATGCATTAAAAACTCATAATAACATTTGAGATAATTGGTTTTCACTAAAAACCATCACTATAAATGAGATAACTTCAATAGCCAAATCTACATGATTTGTAGGTAAAACGTAGATTATTATGGTTGGCTTAGAATAACCATAAGCTAAAATTAATGCCACAATCTTGATCACATTGTGATGATTTTTTGTTATGTATATGGTATAATTTATAGATTGTACAAATGATTTATCATCTATGATTTTATTAAAAGTTTTGAAATATAGTAAAAATTTTAAAGTATATTTACTTTGAAAGCCATTAGTGATTCAAAGATCTTGTGAATATGAAAACTTTTATAATAACAAAAAAATGCTATTTTATCCATTTAAGTGATGAAAATGGTTTTGTTCTTCGTAAAAAAAATATATTAATAGTCTCTATGATAAAATAGATTCATATAAGTATTTATAAATTGACATAAAAAGTCTTAAAAAGAGACTATATAAATATGATTATATTTGAAATTTGCTTATTCATGTAAACTTTTATATTGAGTTAAAATATAAAAGTTTTGAAACTTTTATGAAAAAAAATATTATGATATAGAATATTTGCTAGTTATATTTTATTAAGGGTGGATTTCAATGCCTCTTACTTAAAAAAAAAATACAAAATAGTAAAAAGATAAATGAAATAGCAACTTGATTAAGTAAATATAATATATTGATAATTGAATGAGATATTCTTTAATTAAAAAATGCATGCTTGCACATGGTAGAGGTGATAAGAAATAAAAAATAAATAAAAATTATCACATAGTGTTGTAAGATTTTAGTATAATTTTATGAACAAATTATACAAGCTAATAAGTTTAGACACTTGTTAAAGTAAAATCATAAAAAGACTAAAATGGTTTAATTTATTCATTAAATTTATCTAATTGTACTAAAAATATAATTGTATTAAAGATATATAAAAGTATAAAAATAGAATGGTTGAAATTTATGAGTATAGAGTTGTGGCCACAACTAAAACCAACTATTTCTTAAAATAATAAAAATGAGGTAATAATGTTTGGAGCATATAAATAATATACAAAATAAAAATTTTGGACATATTAGCTTGAAATGATTATATTAGAGAGTTAATCTTAAGTGAGGGTAATTACCATAAAAAAAATTGAATTCCAAGATATTTGGTTAGTAATACTAGAAGTTGAATGGATTTAAATCCTTACTATTAGACACTAATAATGGGAACCCAACTTTGAAATAGTAACTTCTAATTACAAAGTTTAATGGCTAAAAGCAAGTTATTGTTATATGTCTGTTAAGCACTAGTAAAATTCATTCAAATTTTAGAAATCAGTGTGATCCATTGCATGGAAAAGATGAATTTTTATACTCTTAATAGAGTTTTAAATGTTTAAAGTAATGGAGACATAATGAAAACTCTACCTATATAAACATAGAAATAGTGTCACTTCAATAAGAAAAATTGAAGTCTCTTTTATAAATATTTATGGATAAGATAAGCACATGGCTATAATAGTACTAAAAGCGATTATAAACCTCTGACAGAAGAATAAATAAGTATTATGTGTGTTATATCTTTAATTTTAACATTAAAAGTTGAGATTTAATCCCCGAACACCATCAACTTCGTTAGAATTCTAAGATATATATGCTAATTGAATGTTTAAATCAAGAGATATCTTATTGTATTTATAATATTTATTTGTATGAAATGTTAAAAAATATAGCACCAACATTTCAAACTAGTGGGGGATTGTTGATGGTTTAGAATGTGGTGCATCACACATTGGATAAAAAGATTTAATTATTGATGTGTAAAGTTAATTTTTACATTAATTTTATTCATGTTTTAAATAATTATGTTAGAACAAAAACAATTCTCATATGATAAATAGTCATAACTATTTTAATTTAAATAGATTATTGTTCGTAAAAATCATGATTATATAAAATATCATATCTATTTTAATAAAAGTTTATATCTGTTCATTTATTATAAATAAATCTTTTAATATAACTATTTTTACTATTTCTGATTAAAGAGATTAAGGGTTAGTTGCATACTAAAGATATAATTACTTTTAAAAAAAAATTTTACGTTTCAAAATCAAAATTCTCTTTTATTATTTTTTTTTTTTATTTATTTTTTCTAACGAGATCACATGCATGGTGGGGGGATGAAGTTTCTCTCTTTCATATTCTTTTTTGGTACATACGTTTAAGTTGTGTGGAACCTAATTATTAGGTATTTGATATTGATTGTTTTTGTGTAAAGTAAATACGCAAATCAATATATAAATCTAATGTGTAGCGACTGCAAAATGAATGTAATTCTCAGTAAATCATTATATAAATATTGTGCGTTAATTTTTTCTTAACTCATTCTATTATTGCTTTTGGGAAATAGGATCTTAATCCTAACAACATATGTACAAAATTTGGAAGGTAATAACTAACAACTCCCATTTTCAAGCTGGAATTGATTTAAGTTCTCATCTCTGTTTTTTTGCTGTAAAGAACATAAAATCGACCAATCCAATATAAAATGGAAGAAGAAACAAATAAAACAGTCTCTCTCAGGTCCCAATCTTTTCTTTGGAAAGCAGAAGGAAAGCACGTGATAGAGAGTTACTTACACGTGATTTTCATCCCCATATGCCTCCATATTTTATTATTTTTGTTTCTTATTGCTTTAACTAGCTAGGGTTTTTGAACTTTTCTTTCTTTCCCTCCAAATACACTGTTTCCTTCCCCATTCTTGACGTAACTTTCTCACAAAATCCCTATTTCAAACAAATAAATGTTCTCTGACTTTAGTAAAACAGCAATAAAAGAGCAGTCCACAGTGCATTGAAGTTCCCAACCCGCCAAAAAAAATTTTATGGCCTAATTTTTTGTCTTTTTATCCATGATCAAACTATAAAAATTTATAACCATTTTCACATATTTTATATGCCAAGGGATAAAAATTAGCATGCAACTGGAGTAAACCTTTCATATAATTTTTTTCTCTTAACATCTGCTGAGAGCAAAATTTATTGTGGTTGTTCATATAATGCATGACATTTAATCGGAAGATTTGTAAAATAAAAATAATAAAAAGGCATCCCAAGTTGAATTTTCAATACTTGTTTTGACGATCAAATCAATATAATAAAATAATAAAAAAATAAAATAAAAATCCTAATTCTTTTGATTGATAGGTTTTTTTATTGAACTTCACCATGAACAGCTACAGATTTTGTCTTTAACAACACCAACATAACTAGATAAATATAACCCTGCATTATGTAAACACCTTAATTGCTGCAACTAAAAAATAATGTCTAGTTTTGACCTAGCTAGGTTGAAGTTTGATCTTTACTAGTGTAACGTCTATATATCTCAAATATAACAGATTTTAATGTCATAAAATTGTAAAAATATATATAAATCTGACAGTCTATGTGTCTATATGTATTTATATAGACAATATCACATACAAATTCTGTAGTAGGGTAAAAAAATGACCGTTTGCTATCGTACTTTTCAAATGATATTGTCGCATGAGTTAAAAATATTTCAAACATTTCTACATGTTTCATTCTCAAATCTAAACATTGATGTGATAAATACGTAATAATGCCGGCATGCTATTGATTTTGGGGTTTCTTTTTTTTCTTTTTCACATCCTTTCATGTTGATAATTGAGGATCGACTCTCATAGACTTTTTCCAGGTCGAGGGTTTACCATCTGTTCCCCTTAGAACCAACAGAAAAAATATTTGTAGACTTTGCAACAAGCTTCTCATTATTTTTTATTTAAATTTAAAGATTAAAAAAATCATCATATTAAAATTAAATAATTATCAAAGTTCGTATCTTTTATTACAATTTATTAAGTTCTTAAATATTTATTTTTATCTAATTGAGCCCTTATTTTATTCAATTGAACTCTAAATTAAATGAAAATTGGTGATGACGTTTAATAAAAACTCAATTTAGTGAAAATAAATTTTTAAAAATTTAATTAATTGCAATAAAATGATAAAGTATTGGATTATTATTTAATTTTAGTTCAAAAATTTTTTTATACTTCAATCTTTTTATATTTTAAGTTATTAAGATTTGATTTTTTATCATTAAAATTAAAAGTTTAACACGATTAATAATTTAGCTAATGTAAACTTTTACGAGAAAGACAGCTACATTTTGTCATGCAAATGTATATATTCTTTCAATGGAATTAGTTTCCATTTTTGGTAAAATAATTAGTTTCCTAAATGTAGGTTTGGTTGGGATTTGTCATCCACTTAATTTCTTGGGGGTTTTACAACTTTTCACTAATGGATAGGGGTTTTAATGGCTCATTATTATCCCAAATTAAGCACCCTGGCCTTTAATTGATATATATATATATATATATATAAAGGGTAAATAATTGGAGAGTCGTGAGAATATTATTATATAGAACACCGGTGCAAAAGGGCAATATGTTGATTATAGCCAACTAAGTTTATGCAAAATTGCCCCGTCAAGTGTTTTTGAAGGAAAGGAAATTAATTTAAATATATTACTATACAGTAGAAGAAGTACTATAATATTAATAATGTAATAAATGAGTTCAACTGAAATAATAAATTTTAAAGCTGAAGAAAGAGTAGGAAGAACGTACCCCATCAATCTTCTTCCTTTAAAATCTTCCCTCCCACAGCCCACAGATCTTAGCTCTGACTCGCCCATTAATGCCCACATAAAAGAATTACATAAAATTTTCAAAAAATTTTAACCATTTGAAACACACAATGGCCACCCAACTCTTATATTTATCAGAAATTTAAGAGAAATTGAGAATAGTAAATCAAAGGAAGAACAAAGGTCATATGGGGAAGAAAACGAAGCTCCCTTTCTTCTCCAAGAACAACAGCGTACAAGCAAAATCCTCTTGGCCGTGGCCTTCCTGTCACCAGCCGAGAACTCTCTCTTTCAGAAAAGACGACAGCTTGTTGAAGACCATCAACTCAGCTTATTTAGATGCCATCATCGAAGCTGAAACACCCGAGCCATGGTTCTCCAACTCTTCCGAAACAGCAAGCTTCTCAACAGCATCTGACGAATCTGGGGGTGATCCTGTCGAGACTGTCATTCGGGGTTTAAGGTCAGAGAGGCTGTTTTTTGAGCCCGGAGAGACTAGTTCAATCTTGGAAGAGGCAAAGCCGGGTATTGAGCTACCTTTTAAAGACAGTGTGGTCTTGTCAATGGATTCTCAAGATCCGTATGTTGATTTCAGGAAGTCCATGGAAGAAATGGTAGAAGCTCAGGGGTTAAAACATAGGGAAGGTCTAGAAGAACTTCTGTGTTGGTATTTGAGAGCAAATGGTAAAGGCAATCATGGCTACATCCTTGGTGCCTTCATTGATTTAATTGTAAAACTTGCTAGTTCTTCAACTTGTATTCCTTCTTGTTCTAATTGCTCTCACTCTCCTTCTTCTCCTTTATCTTTTTACACTTCTTCTTCTTCCTCTGATGATTCTTCAACAACCACTCCATGCGTATCTTCATTAGAAGCTGAGGAAGAGATTGACGATACTCATTGTTTATCTTCATTATGAGAGGCAGAAAAGGAAATCATTAAAGATAAAGATGATGCTTCTTCTTCTTCTTCTTCTTTTAATTAGATGTTTTATTCAATATTGGAATATTGTTTATACCACTAATGTTCAGAAATGACAGTGAACTTTCTTTCGTTATTTTCTTAAATTCTTTGCTTATTCTTTTTCCCTTTCTTTCTGTGTTGCCAAGCAGGACTCCAGTTCAATGTTTAGGTCTCTTTGTATTCCATGGCAGCCATGTTGCCTGGTTGCCTGGCGGCACCAGTGAAATAAGTAATCTCCACTCGTGGGGAAGGAAAAAGGGGTGCAGTTGCTCTAGCACCCAGTTTCCATTAATATTTTTTAATTCAATTTTTTCCATTTAAAAATTTATTAAAACTAAAATAATTTTAATAAATTTTAAAATAGCATTTTATTTGTACAGGTATTATTAGTGTTTTGTCTACTTGTACCCTAAGTAATTAAATTTTTATATTTTAAATGTTAAATAAAATTAATATATGTATCAAAATAATTTTTAATTCATCTTTAAATTAATGTTTTTAATCGCATTTTTTTTATTTCAATGTTATTATTATTTTTATATTTATATGTATTTCATTATTAATTTTAATTTTATTATTATAATATTTAATTTTATTGTTATAATAATTAATCTCATTGCATGTTCAAATGAACCATCCTTAGACGATGATGCACATGCCAATATGTCATTTGCAATTGATGAAAATAGAGCTTTTGTAGTATAGGGAAATTTCCATAGTAAAAGGAATTTCATTTAAATCATGTCTGGAAAAATATATATAGACGATGGTAATTAGGTATCATGCAAAGCAAATTATGAACGTACACGTGCAGATGATATGATTGAGCAATATCTACCATTGGATTTATTTTAACGTTGTGCCTGGGATGTCCTGACATATGATAGAGAGATCACAGCCGTTGATTTCAAATTGAATAGTCATTTTCGTCTGATAGGTACAATTCCAGCCTGGACAATGGCATCGTCCTACTCTCGCTCGTAGTATCATTTGCAGCTGCAGCCTGCAGCAATATTATCTAACACAAATTTGAGAATATTTCTCATAATTTTTAACAACATCAAATTTAATGATCTAAATCTTATCTAACAATTATTATTTTTCAAATAAAATATAATATATTATAATTAACATTAAATAGATTTAAATTTTAAATATTAATATTTTAATTTATTTTTTTTCAAATTGTCATTTTTATACAGAAAAACACAGTAAGAAGTTTTAAAATCTTTAGAATTCATATTCAAATTTTACTAGATGTAAATTTCGTCTAATTATATATTATGTAATTAGTTGTTAATTTAGCTTGTCTATTTTTTTTTTGTATATTAAAACATATATAATTAAAAAATGACGAGAAAAAGCAGGTTCAAATTTCTGAATGTTTACAAATCCTTCCTACGTATAACTCAGCTTTCTAACAACTTACAAAATGATTTTCAGATAAAGCGAATTAAAAAAGTTAATTTCGAGGAAAAAAAAAAAAGAAATAAAGTGTGGGGACTCCTCCTCGACTCATTGCCTAATATTTGCTATCATATTTTTTGCCTTTTCTTTCTGTTTCAAGTAGAGTAAATGTTATGAGGAAAAAAACAAGAAATGCACATGTTTTTCAGTGGGCGAAGGAGAATATCGGAGCCATGGAGGGGAAACGAGTGGTGGCTGAAGAAGAAGGGACCGTTGTATTTGTATTATAATTCCTTTCATTTTCTCTTTGAAAGTGATATATGATTCACTATTCCTTAAATAGTGAGTAGAATTTGTTATTCTCAAATCTACATTTTCGGCTTCTTATAAATAAGTAATTTTCTATTGATTTAATTATTTTTATAATAATTTATTATATAAATACAATATTTGATTATAAATATAATTTTAAAAAATTAAAAAATATTTTATTATATATGCTTGAAAGAGCTCTTTATACTAAGATTCAAGCCTTTCTAAATGATTTTTTTAATCTCAAACTCGAGTAATTATCAAGTAAAATAATTGATTAATACTTTTAATATTAGCATAAAACAAAATCAGATTAATCTAAATCGTCGGCAGTGCTCCATGTTCAAGAATTTTGGCTTCAATCTCGGGGACAAAAAGCCTAGGATTCTTCTCAGCGCCGAAGCTTCTAAACCGTGAGCCATGCTTTTCTTAAAAATAATAATAATAAATTAAATTAATCCTCACACTTATAGCAAGGGGAAATAATAATTAATTAATGCTATATGGGTGGGATATACAAAAAAAAATCTGATTGTGGGTTGGATATATTGCAATTTTCGGGGGCTCCTTTTCTATTACCATAGCTGGAAGATAACGTTTTTCTCCCATGTATTTACAAACTCGACTTTGCTTGGGAGAGTGATGAAAATTTAATGCGAAGGGCCCGAAATTTCTTGCCATGTTTTCCTCTCTCGATTTTTGAAAATCAAAGCCGTTGGTTTTGCAAAAGCTGGAGATGGGAACTCATTCTTCGAGAGAGATGTTGATTAATTAAGGTTATTATTTAAAAAAATATTATGGTTTTCACTTTTTACTGTCAAATATATAATTTTAATATAAAAATATTTTATAAAAAATATAATAATATGAGAATTGAAAAAAATTACAAAAATTTAAATTTAAATTTTAAATTTATTAAATAGTACTTTTTTAAAATAATTAAATTAAATCTTACACATAAAATATTTCAATTAGTTAAATTATATTCCCCATGCGTTAATAAATGGAGGATGATGGCATGAGTCCAAAAGCTAAAGGTGTGTGCCAAAAATGAATTAGCTTACAGCAGATGATGTCTGCCTGAGACAAACAAACATAACCCTAAAGCAATTTTACCCTGCAGGTTTTTACTTGTGAAAAGCCTGGGGGAACCAAACAAATGAGTTTTTCAAAAAACATTAAGAGATGGTCCAGTGTATGGTAATTAGTGAGATAATGACATATAAATGGAAACCCCATTCTCCAAGAAAATCGATTTTCACGGAAAATACGACCAAACAGTATGGAAGTTGGTGTCTTTCCATCTAAGATTAGCTTTCGAGACTTGTACTTGTAATACATACCTTATTTTTTTGTCTTTTTTTCTAATAGTCAAAGGGAGGTCTTGGTTTTTTGCAAGGCTTTGGATGCTTAACGGTACTTAACGTGGATAATATTATACATCAATTTTATGTACTTTAATGATATATTATATTTTATAAAAAATTTTACAGATTAAAAATAATAAAAAATTATAAATATTAAAATTTAAAATTTTATTTATTTCATATAGAAATATTGCATTAACCAATTCAATTTAAAGTTTTTAATAAAATAATATTATCATAACAATTTTTTATCCAAAAAACTCGATCACTTAACTTGAATAAAAATTTTTTCAAAGTTATCATCAATTTTTTTTTATAAAGTGTGATTGATTATTAAAAATATCATCTTTTAATAAAAATTTTAAAATTAATTAAGATTTATTAAAAGACGGGATTGAATCTAAGAGTATAATTACGAGTGAAAAATATTTTATTAACACCCCCACGTCCCTCGTTCACATAATGATACCAATTGAACATATCTCATCTTTTAATTTTAATGATATAGTCTTTTAAAATATTTAAATTTAATTTCTTAAAATTTATTTATGGAAACATTTTTTGTTATGAAATGAGTATTATTATTATTTTCCTATTTTATAAATTCTTCAACTTTTTGATGAAATTTATAGCAAATCTTTATTTAGAAAATATTTTTAAAAAATTGTCTATTCACAAAATTTTTCAAAATTTCATCATAAGATATTTTATTTATTTATTAAAACTAATTTTAAAATTATCTTAATTTTTTTACAAAATCTTAAAATTTATTAAACAGATTTCAAGATTATCTTTTGGCGAAATCCTAAAAATTTTTAAGTTGATTTTAAGATCACCCAAACTTTCTAATGAGATTCTAAAAATTATTTTTTATTGATGATAATTAAGAAAAATGAGATTCTCCCATTTTTTCTTAAAATTTTTACTAGAAAGATTTAACTAAACATTTAATTAATTTTTATCATGGTTGTTTGTTTTTTTCTGTTATTATTTACTACTTACTATTGTCATTTTTTTTATTTAAATAAATCTTTATTTGGCAAAAAAATAACTCTTTTTTTATTTTTTTTTTTGAATTATCTCAACTCTATGGGAAAATTCAAAAATATATTTTTTATAACAATTAAAAGATTTATTTAAAAAAGCACTTTTATTATTTTTTATTGTTTATTTTTTTATTATTTAAATAAATATTTATTTAGTGAAAATAATTTTTTAGATTATCTTGATTTTTCAATAAAATCTAATTTTTTTTTGTTTTTTTTTTAAACAAACCCTTTTATTTTTATTATGCATTGGTACTGTTTTTTTTAATTGAAACAAATTTTTATTTTAAAATAATTTCTACATTATTTCGACTCATCGGTAAAATTTATATATATATATTTTACTTGCATTAAAAAAATTAAACTTTTTTAATTTTCTTTAAAAATTATATTTTAAAAAATATTTATTTAAATAAATAATTGTTATTAATATTATTATTTTTTAGCAAAAAAAATGTATTGAATTATCTCAACATTTTGACGAAATTTAAGAAATATTTCTACTAGTAAAATTATGGAAAAATAAAGCTCTTTTTACTTTTTCTTAATAATAATAATATTTTTTATCATTTTTATTTTAAATTAAAATCTTAGTATTTATTTGTTTTTTTATTGTTTTACTTTTTTTATTATTACTAATATTTATTTATTTGTAGTAAATATATATAAATATTATAAATTGTAAATTGTAAAAAAATCTTAAATAAATAACAAAAATTAGAAAATAAAAATAAAATGAACAAAAAACTTACATATAGGTTGGGTTGTCAACAAGTCGAAGCACAAATTATGCGCAGGTCGATACAGGTCAAGACGCCAAAATGACGTCATTTTGGTAACCTTTAAAGACT